TTTGGGACATCACGAAGGGCCACCTCACCCTCTCGGGAGACAGGCTGCTAGAGCTGTCACCCGGGCCACTTCTCCCACTGCCACCAGGGTACTGGTCCCCATCATCAAACCAAAGGCAAAAGGGCTCCAGAGGCCTGGCCCTGCCCGTCTGAGTCTCTCCTCCCTCCCTCGGAACTCTGACTTCTGTTTGTAATTGCCTATAGGTGGAATTAATTAGATACTGTCATTCTAACAACTCACAAAGGTGGCATATTTTTTCTCTAAATGCAGATATTCTTTTGAGGGCTGTGTCTTCCTTTACCTTTTGCAGAAAATCACTAAATTAAAAGAATTGCCTTTTTAAATTGCAGATTAAAGGGAAGCTTAATTAGAAGGAATGAAAGCAGTTGTGTTTGGAGCTTTTGTTCTTAACTTTTTTTTTTCTTGTGCTGCTGAATCACTTGGAGTTTGTATATTTTTACTTTAGGTGGAATGATTTGCCTAATTAAGCCTGTCATTCATCACCACCTGTTCCCTCTAAAATGTATGGCTATATTATTAAGCTTGCAAGCGAATGTATGAATTAATTCAGTGGGGATTTACAGTGTTGACTGGGACGTTATTAGGTTTTATCCAATTTATCTGCTGTGAAAACCGATATTTTTCCCCAGTACAGTGAAACAGCAGCTCATTAAGTTTCTTCAGTCAGTCATTCTTTGAACACCTGTTATGTTGTGGGCATGCTCTAGGGATGGGGGGTAGGGGCAAATATGGTGTAGCTCCTGCCCCTGAGGGGCTCATGAGGAGCCAAACAAGGAAACTGGCAATTAGGGTACCATAGGCTGAGATCAAGGGGAGTCTGGGAAGGAGGTGAGGCCAGGGAAGGCTTCCTGGAAGAGGTGACCCCTGAAGAGCAAGTGGAGTCAGTCAGGTGGACAGTGGGGAGGGGAGGGTGTCCTGGTAATGCAGGCAGAGAGCATGGCCTGGAAAGGGACCTGGTGAGATCTGAGACTAGGCAGGTTGCCAGGTCGTTGGTCGTGAGAGCTTGGGTTCCTTCCATGATCGGTGTTCCATGCTCCATGCCTCTCTTTTCACTTGTGCCAGGAGGTGTGTCGTGGGATTGTATACTGGGAGAGAGCCCCCAGTTCTGATTTTAGCCGGTGGAACACCCAGGTTGTCAGAGGTGAAAGTGCCTTACAGTTCATCTGGTTTCTCCCTCTCCTCTGCCTGTGGCAAAACTAAGCCTAGAACCTCATCTCCCACCTATCCCCTTCCCTGACCCCCACTCCTCTGCCCACTCTGGCACTGTTCACCCCCAGGGGCCAGAGG